GAAATGTCATTTTTGTTCTTCAGAATTTTAAATATTAAATTATTAAAATTTTGTAATATTGTTTAAGTTTACATTGATATTTGTACAACTCTTTTTTTTTATCTTTTTGAGACAGGGTCTCCCTGTAGCCCCAGCTGTCCTGGAACTCACTATGTAGACCAGGCTGGCCTTGAACTCACAGAGATCTGCCTGCCTCTGCCTCCTGAGTGCTGGGATTAAAGGCGTGCATCACCACGCCCAGCTTGTACAACTCTTTTATAGATGTAAAATAAGTTGAATATAGTATTTTCAAAAGTTATTTCAACATGTCTAGCTATCTTTCCATTGTCTCTGAATTTTGTTCTCAACTTGTCAATTTCTACAGTTTGCTGGGATTTAGATTTGAAATGAGTTGATTGCTTTGCATTGCAGAAGTTCCTTCATGGTGCTCATTTATAGTCACAACAAGCTCCACTCATGATCCCTGATGTGACCATGCATGCATACATGACAACTCTCAGAGTGCTGCTTATTGAGTCTGACTTTCAATAAGCGTTATTCATGATGAGTTTATCAATGGTTCATTTCCCTTTGTTGATGAATACTGGTCCATCATTCTTTCTGCCGTGTTCTCTTAATTCACTGAAGGACATTTAGCTCAGGCTTAGGAGAAAGTCTTTATTTGGTTAATAATTCTGGGTTTCAGTGCATCCTTGCAGGGGAAGTCAAGACAGGAACCAGCTAATCACATTATATCTATAATCAAGAGCAAAGAGCAAAGAATTAATGCATGCATGCTAGTGTTCAACCCTTTCTGTATACTTGTACAGGCCAGATTTACCAAGCCTAGGGAATGTTACCACCCACAGTGGGTGAGTCTTCCAACATCAGTCAACTATCAACTCAATCATGATAGTCCCTCACAAACATTTCCAGAAACCCTTCTTCCTTTGCATTGCTCTGTGTGTCTTCACATTCACCAATGCCACATGTTTCTTTAATTACTATTGCATTATATAACACTATCTTGGAATATTAGACTTTCAGTTTGTTTCAACTTAATGAATTAAATAAAAAATTAACTGAAAATGAAAAATATAGACTGTAAACATTAATGGGGAAATATATTTCTATACATGTGCATATTGCCCAATGTTTACATTAGGTTTTGCTAATGTAAATATTGATCTCCTTGAGTTTTTTGAAGAACTGTCTTGTCATGTCTTTGCCTTGTGATACAGCTATTAGAATGAACTTGCTTATGTGTATGAAATACTGTGCTGGATTCTTAATTGCTATTGAGGTGTATCTATTTGGAGAGAATTGATATAGTATAATTGAGGCTGTGTATCCATTAACAAGATATTTCTGCATATTTCACTAGACTTTTGGTTTCTTTTTTAATATTTTATTTATTTTTTATTGTGTGTGTATGAGTGTATTGCCTACATGTATCTAAGTGCACCCATGTCATACAATGCCCGTGCAGCTCAGAAGAGGATGTCAGATTCCCTTGGAACTGGAGTTACAGACAGTTGTTAGCTACCACATGGGTGCTGGGAGTTTCACCCAGGTCTTCTGCAAGAACAGTCAGTGTTCTTAATTGCTGAACCATCTCTTCAACCCCAGGCTTTAGGTTTCTTATAGTAATACTTTATTGTATGCACAGGAAGAACCTGTATGCATTTAACATATTTATATCTATTACATGTTTTTCATATTAAATGTAATTGTATTTATGTATTAGTCACTTTTCTGTTGTTGTGATAGAAACACCAGGACCAAGGGAACTTATAAAAGGAAGAGTTTATTTAGCTTACCATTCCAAGGGGCAAGAGTCCATCATGGTGGGGAGGCATTGTGGCAGAGGTGGCTGGAGGAGGAGCAGAAGCTAAGTTCTCAAATCTTCAAGCAGGCACAGGAAGCAAGAGAATGACTTGAAATCTGCCAAATCTTAAGAACCCTCTAAGCCCACTACTAGTGACGTGCTTCCTCCAGCATAACCACACCTACTAAGACCTCCCAAAACAGTGCCACCAACTGGGGACAAAATGTCCAAATACTTAGAGCTTATGGGGGACATTCTCATTCAGTCCATCACAATTCATGTTATCAGTTTTTTTATTACATGAGGTGTGGTAGTCTATGGCCTTCTCTAACTTTTAATTTCAATTTATTGAATTAATTTACATAACAGTGTCCATAATCTTCCCCAATAGTTCCTTTTGAAAATTTTTTTTGAGAATATCATGCATGAGCACTCTATTTAGGTCGTTTCCCAGCAGCTCCTTCCTCCCATGTGCCCCCAACTCCTCCTCAAATTCAAGTTCTCTTCTTTATTATTGTTATATACACAAGCATAATTTACAAATATACATACATACACACTCATGCGTACATGTATTTCGGGCTGACTATTTGAGATTAGATAATCTATCAGGAAGCTTGTCCATGGAGAAAATAAATACAATGTATTGTGATCATTTTGGTCCCAAACTCTTCCCACAACCACCCCCTAGCCCTTTCCCAATTTTATGCCCTTTTTTTTTTCATAGCTTACTAATTCCTGTTTGTGTTTTCCACATGCTCATAGATGTAGGGTCAAACACTGGAGCATGGTTGACCTATCAGAGGCCACACCCTTAAAGACAATGAATATCCTCAGTTAGGGGTTGGGGCTCAGGATCCCCCTCTGATTTCCAGGTTTAAATGTTGATTGGCTTGTCAAATTGTTCATATATATATATATATATATAATATAGCAATGTAATTCCTGTCCTTCTTGATAATGGTAATTTTTGTCATCTCTACCTTTTCCTGATAATTCTCCTTTAAAGTTCATTTTTAACTTTTAAATTTTTTAATTATTTACATTTTATATGCATGAGTGCATTACCTGCATGTGTGTAAGTGCACCTGTGCATGTAAGGCCCACAGAAGTCAGAAGAGGGCATCAGATCTCCTAAAACTAGAGCTACAGATGGTCGTTAGTTGCCATATGGGTGCTGGGATTCAAACCTGGGTCCTCCGTGAGAGCAGTCAGTGCTCTTAACCGCTGAACCATCTCTCCAGCCCCCTCTTTTAAAGGGATCTTCTATCATAACAAAGTTTTAAGCTCATTAAATGTAGGAATGTGTTTATGTATTATATACAATTCCTTTTACATTTTTACTTTAGCTCAGAGCATTAGTCTTTTCGTCTACTCACTTTGATCTTAATCTCTTCTACTTCTTCTACTGTCTTCAGGAAGAGACTCAGACACCTGACATGGGGCCGGATTCCTTTCCAATGTATCTGTCAAGTGCAGACACCTTACTCCATATACTTTGTTCCCATTCAACATGTTTATATATGTGGTTCACCCACTGAAACATGCACAGACTGGGTGGCATTATTAAAAGGGTTTCTGGAATTTTGGGGGAAGGGGGTAAGGTATTGTCAAAAATGTCTTTTCTTTCACCTTTATCTCTATCTTTTGACTAAAGCAAAGGCAAGTTGTTGGAATTTTGGCCTCTAATGCTTGGAGTTGGAGATCTGGAGAATTAGATATTTTAAATTTTGTGTTGAAAATGATGTTTGTTTTATCATTTTGATCCATTTGAAATTTTGTTTGGTTTGGAAAAAATCTGACTCTGAAACTAGTTTATTCAGAATTAACCTCTTCCTTCTAAATGATCTAGGTGGTCAAAGGACTCTTCACTTTTCAAACTTGAGACTCTCACATTTTTGGAATTGACTTTACCATTTATGTTTGTTTTATCATTTTGATCCATTTGAAATTTTGTTTGGTTTGGAAAAAATCTGACTCTGAAACTAGTTTATTCAGAATTAACCTCTTCCTTCTAAATGATCTAAATGGTCAAAGGACTCTTCACTTTTCAAACTTGAGACTCTCACATTTTTGTGAGAGGGTACTCGTTTTTCTTCTGGGTTCTCCTGGGATCACGGAGTTGTGTACTGTGCTGCAGTGTGCTGGCACCTAGCCAAAGGAATGAGAGGACAGTGATGCAGACCTCAAGAGTTCTGCTGCTCTGCGGACTCTCCCTTCTCTGGTTTCTATACCACAGGTCCTAGTGATCTTAGTCTCTTTGAGAGTGTTCTTTATTGTTTGTATTCATCAAAATAGCCGTTTTCTGGCTGAGTTCTTCCTCAGCCAGAAATTCCTTGTGCTGTTTTCTGGGAAATTTCTTGAAGCATAAAGTCACTTTGGTAAGAGACCTCATTAGCCTCCTTCCTCTCTGGGATTTTACTCCATATTCCTTTCTAGCTGTCTGATGATGTTTTTGTCCTGGAACTTCTTTAGTGTTCCAACACAATGTTTTATTTAATGTTTCATTATATAAAATGTTTAATGTCCTCTCCTTTGACTACTTCCTTATCCATAAAAACAGAGCTGTGTTCTGGGCAGAAACCTAACAACTGGAAGATTTCTACTTTTACAATTTTAATACAGGATTTGAGAAGTCATCATTTTAGCAAGAGATGATTAAACAAATTGTTCCTTCTGCTTTCCTCTGAACTTTGCACATTCATAGCGCCTGTGGAATGCACTTATGATGACATTTCAAATTCTTTGTGCTAAAGTTGGTGGCAACTATGTAGATAGATTGTCCAAGATCATCACCTGTTCCTAAAAACTCTCAGTGAGTAAATGAGTTCTAGGTGCCTAAGAGAGCCAAATTATTGCCGGATTTAAAGAAAGTGCCAGGAAAGTAAAACTATATCAGAGTTCTGGAATGCTACAGGATTCTGGAGCCATTTAAACAAGAAATGTCTTATATGCTCTTGGAGTGGATTATGAATGCTTAAAATCTTACCATGTCACCCACACAAAAATCACAAAGCGTCATGAATTGTCTTTGGAATCCATGTGTTATTTTCTTTGGCTCAGTTGTTTGGATGACGTCATTCCATGTCTTCACATACAGATCACTAACAGATTACTATTAAATTTTTTATACTGTGATATTATATGAGTCCTTATGCTACTGAAACACATTTCCTTATCTTCTCCCTTTTAGAAACATGTTCAAGGTCAGATATCGAAATCGAGAATGGTTTTCTTTCTGAATCTGATTTTGTGTATGCTCTAAATAAAACAACACAATATAGATGTAAACAGGGATATGTTACACCAAATGGCGAATCATCAGGATCAGTTACCTGTCTAGAAGACGGATGGTCAGCTCAGCCCTTGTGCATTAGTGAGTGCTTCATTATGTTGTTGCATTTATCCTGATCATATAGAAAGATTATTCTTGCCTAAGGTGGAGGATGCTATTTCATTTTAAAAATAAGTAAAAATCATTAAGAAAAAAAACACAACACTATTATTTCCTTTTAAGACATCTTCCTTTTTCAATACCGTAAAGTATCCTATAATTTTAAAACTAGTTAGGAAGCTTTATGTAGAGTTTCTCGGGGCTGAGATCATTGTGTTATGTCTGTTTGCTTATTACATATTCATACTTTTGTATCAAAGCCTCTGTAAGACTAGATGCAAATGTAATGTTTTTAGTGAAAATAAATGTCCATGTTTTATAATCTCAAAATATTTCAACCTTTATAATATTTATATTTGGTGCCATAAGTCAAGATCCATTTCTGAACTTCTTTCCTCTTAGAAAATATTAATAAATATCTAGATATTGAAAATAAATGCTCCCAGGTAGGAGCAAAATTTGCTGTTCTGGACGATTTTCCTGTTTTATGACCCAGAGTCAATAAAAGTTTTCTAAGAATAATTAGTTCAGTTTATCTTATTTATCAAAAATTAGTTAGTGATATTTCTCAAGCTTATCCAATATACCTCAATGTAGTACTTTTTAATATATGCATTGCTGCTCTTTTAATTTCTATTTTTCAATTCCTGTGCTTATTACAGGATTTAGCTAAAGAAAAAACAATTACAATAATCCCCATGCAAAACTCATTTACACTAATTCATACTCAGCAAATTATTATGGGTCTTTATTATTGAGAAAGAGAAAATCTCTTATATAATAAATGTACCATTCTTAAATTCACTATGTATTTTTCCATTTTCTCTATGTCATACACAGCAACCAACAAATGTGGTGCCTTAATTCACAAAATGCTATTACATATTCCTAAGAAATAATACGCATCTAGGGGCCTGGAGAGATGGCTCAGAGGTTAAGAACACTGACTGTTCTTGCAGAAGACCCAGGTTCAAATCCCAGCTCCCACATGGCAGCTAACAACTGTCCATAACTCCAGTTCCAGGGGATCCAACAGCCTCTTCTGTCCTCTGTGGGCATTGAACAACACAGATGCATTTCCCTACATGCAGGCATAACACTCATACATATAAAATAATAAAATATTAAAAAAGAAATACTATGCATCGCTATTGATCTGTTTATTACTAGTATGTGATAAACAGTTAAGTAAAATTGAACTGATGAACTAGTTTTAAAATAAAACCTTGTGAAGGCTTAAATGACAAGATAAATGCTACAAAAGAACATTGTTCATTTTAATAATTGTTTCAGGATAATCGTTTATTGTTAGTCTTACATTACTTTTATATAGTATTTAATTTGATTTAGGAATTATTTAATCTGTATGATACATTAGAAATAAAATCTTAATTTTATTATGTACTAGAGTCTTGTGATATGCCTGTATTTGAAAATGCTAAAACCCAAAATACTGGTACATGGTTTAAACTCAATGACAAAGTGGACTATGAATGCCATGTTGGATATGAAAACAAACATAAATATAGGAAGGGCTCCATAACATGCACTTATGATGGATGGTCTGACACACCCTCATGTTTTGGTAAGTGTTTTTTCAGGGCATTTAAAAATATTCTTTATTTAATTTTTTGTATATTTCATACAGAACATCTCAAACAATCTTAATGATCTTTATACCCCCATCCCCACTTGTACCCTCTCGTAGCCCACAAATTTTTATTTGAATATTCAATTTAAATATTAAATAAACTTAGTCTTTGAATGTAAGAGAACAATTTCTTCTCTTGAGAATGAAATTGTGACTTTAATAACTATTTGCATTAAATCAAATTCAGGAAAGTAAGATGAACTTACTAATTAATTTTTATTACCAATATAGCACTATGTCTTTAATACATCTCAGAAAATCCCATATGGCTATAGGGGCTGTATCAAACTTAATATGTAACAGTTTTCAGAACCAAGAGGTTTGAATGTACACGAGAAATATAAAATCACTTTGCAAGGATTAATTATGTATTCTCGCTAATTATTTTACTTTTCAAGAAAAAGAATGTCATATTCCCATAATAGAACAATACTTAGTTGTTGATCCCAGGAAAGAAAAATACAAAATTGGAGATCTGTTGAAATTCTCTTGCCGACATGGACTTGCAAGAGTTGGACCAGACTCAGCGCAATGCTACCATTTTGGATGGTCCCCTAAGTTTCCAACATGCAAAGGTCAGTATTTCCTTAACAACCAGTGAAACAACAATTAGAAGGGTTTTTTCCTCTCCTAATTGTCTACAGACTTCTGGTATGCCTGTTATCTAAAGCACAGCTGGAAAACTGATAGCCACAAAGAACATGTGTTATGTAGTTAATAGCACCGATTCACTTAAGAAGTCAGCCCCCAGCTGCTTCTTGAAATGTGTAACCTGTGTATTCTCATTTGCAGATATGATGACTGATCACAATGACTTTTTTGTGAACTTTTCATTTTGCCTGTACTACGAGCACTGCTGGACATTTTATATGGGGTGGTTTTTCCCTCTAGTTTTGTTGAGTGTGTCTAAACAATATGAAAGCAGATTTTTTTTGGTTAATTCAGTAGTGTGTATTAATCAAATTAAAGCATATTGATCAGATGTCTGCTTTAGTGATGACATTTTTGGAAAAAACTGATAAATTTAGGATTGCCATTGCCATAAAATAAAAAATTATTTTTCACAACAACAGTTGCCAACTGCTTGGCATCCCTGCATCTTAAGATACCTAGATTCCTGAACATTTTTATAGCCTTCAATATACTTCCAATGCTATTTCAATAGAAATAATGTAACTGTGAAATATGAGTACAGTGTAAACATTCTTTTTTCATTAAAGAACTGTAAGAAATGCTATGGTAAATAAAAAATCCTTTCACTAGATTTTAGACTATAAAATAGACATTTTAACCACTACTTACACAGTATTTACACAGTAGGTCAAGTAAAGCCATGTGGCCAACCTCCTGAGCTCCTCAATGGAGAAGTTAAGGGAACACAGAAAGAAGAATATGGACACGGTGAGGTTGTGGAATATAATTGCAATCTTAGATTTGTGCTGAAGGGACCCAACAAAATCCAGTGTGTTGATGGGACATGGACAACCTTGCCCACATGTATTGGTAATTAAAACATTAATATTCATATTTAAACACTGCTTTGCATTCATTTGAATACACTGTGATATTGTAATGATAAATATTCTTTTGTGAAACCTCGACAGAGGAAGAGAGAACATGTGCAGACATTCCTGAGCTTAAGCATGGCTATGCTCAGCTTTCTGCCCCTCCCTACCTCCACGGAGACTCCGTGGCGTTCAGCTGCAAAGAGAACTTCACAATGATTGGACAGAGGTCAATAACTTGCATTAGTGGAAAATGGACCCAGCTTCCTCAGTGTGTTGGTGAGAGCACATTTTTCAATAGATATTTAATAAAGTTTGCTACTTTTATTGTAGAAATATTTCCAAATATATTTTTGAGTTTAGTGAATTTATCTTGGAAATATGTAGTTTTAAATATCAAGAACACAAACTTTTATTGTTTCTAACTTGATATCTATCTATAGAAAAGCAAACACAATACAGTTTTTAAATGTTTCTAAGAATAAATATAATTTTTACTTAGAAATAATCACATGGTTAAACTAGTAATAATGTATGAGAAGATATGACTATGTTACCTAAAACCATTGCTGTTATTTTATGGCACTTTTTTTTTCAGGTCCCAGAAAGCAAAGGAATAAGTTTCACAAAAGACCCATTTCCTACTCTTCCACTGCAAATTTTCTCTCTCAAAACTATAATAGAGATGATCCTCAGTGTATTCCAATGCAGAAAGCAGAAGTCAGTGTGCTAGGAACATGGGCCACAGACCCTCTCATCAGCTACAAACCTTTTATGGGATCCAGATATCTGGGACTGGGTGGGAACTTATCACCTGGGTGACTCCACTCTGCCTTTGATGAGTACCGGGAAGGATGCTGGGGTCTATATTCCCTTTTCCCCGAGACTCAGTACTTATTTACTTTTTTTTTTATTTTTAGCATTTCCTCAGTCTCTCCTTCAGAGTGGTGTCCAGTCTTACATATTCCCTGGAGTTTTAGATGTTTATTAGACCCCCAAAAAATAACAGAGCTCCTGAGGAATAAGCCTTTATATCTCTTTTCCTCACTATTTATTAGTGTGTGTGTGTGTGTGTGTGTGTGTGTGTGTGTGTGTAAATTGCCTGTATGTGTGTAAGTACACCTATGTCATGCAAATTCCCACAGAGGTCAGAAGAGGGCATCAGATCCCCTGGACCTGGAGTTACAGATGGTGGTCAGTCACCATGTGGGTTCTGGAAATCAAACCTGGGACTTCTGCAAAGAGGAGCCAGTGCTCTTAACCTCTGAGTCATCTCTCCAGTCCCTATATCTGCTTTATCCAGAAGTCTGAGCAATTCAATAACAGTTTGTAAATCAAAACAGCTGCTGATGCTTATTAACCTTGATATTTTGTTAAACAAATACATTTTTGTCAAAAGCTCTGCCTTCAGTCCTGTAAGACTTGACTTCATCACTGCCCTTCGCTGCTTGAACACATAATTTCATCTGATTTCATACAGTGAAAAGTCAAATATCAGGCGTGAAAACTCAATTCTTCATTCTAACTTACACAAACTTCTGTTTTGTTATTTGTTCAGATTGCAGGGGTTTTGCCTGGTGGTGACTCTGCCTGTAGTCAGCTTCTCATGACCGTCTTCCAGCTGTCACAGGCCCACTACAAAATTAATCTTACAGCACAGATTTTTGTTCTGCCGCTTCAGAAACAAATCAATCACACAACAACCATCTCACCTATACTGCGTACTTTCCTTGACTTAACATTTTGCAACATCAGTCTTGTCTTCTCAACCAATCTTAAGCAAGAGACTAAATCTCAGGTGTCTAAAGTACTTGAGTTAGTCTAGCCGATATCTTAAACATTGTTTACCGAAATCATTACAGTGCTTTGGTTAATTACTTTTATTTGCTCTAACCTCATTTCACTCAACATTTCATTTTATTAACAAATATTGTTTGACTCTTATACCGACATTTTGTCAAATTCAGAGAGAACTCTCCTTTTCACTGGGTAATTGAAATATATAATATATTTAAAGGTCTATATGTTCTCCACACTTAACTCATAACACAGCCAGCACAGTTATTATTATGACATGATAATATTATTAGATTACAGGATGATCTAGCATATAAAATCACTTCTAATCAACGCAAAATAAAGAAATATAAGTAAAATAGGTAACACCAAGCACTTGGTTTCTTATTCCAATTCTCTCTCTCAGGAAGTATTTTGAATTATTAGTTTCCTACAAAATAATCTTAGATGTATTTTTCTTGTATGATATCTATCAAAAAAGTAATTTTATTCTATTCACACTGATGTTTTTATTTTAGTATTTTAAGACAGAGGATTAAAGATAATATAATGAGAAAATAACAAATATGAGCATTTGCACAGCTTGCAAATGTGGAACCAGATTTGATCATGTGATGGTCATTTCCTGTGAAGAGCATCTGAGACAGTGAAGGTTCCATGCTCTTCCAGTTCCCAGGTGCAAAATAGCTTCATGATACATATTTTGTTTTTATTTTAGTATTTTAAGACAGAGGATTAAAGATAATATAATGAGAAAATAACAAATATGAGCATTTGCACAGCTTGCAAATGTGGAACCAGATTTGATCATGTGATGGTCATTTCCTGTGAAGAGCATCTGAGACAGCGAAGGTTCCATGCTCTTCCAGTTCCCAGGTGCAAAATATCTTCATGATACATATTCCTCTGACATATCAAGACTGGACATGAGACCCAAGTTCACACAACAGGCCATTTCAAGCACAGTGATCACGAGCAGCTCATTGGCAGAATCTATATGTATAAATCAATTTTATCATATGTTGACCTATAACTTTTAATGTAATACCTAGCAAATTTGCTGTAATTAGTTTGTGAAAATATGTTTCATTTTCTAGCAACCGATCAACTTGAGAAGTGTAAAGCACCAAAGTTAACTACAACAGAGGGGAACCAATCAGATGAGTTTAGTCATAACTTTAATATGAGTTACAGATGCAGAGGAAAGTCAGCGTATGAACACTCAATCTGCATCAATGGAAAATGGGACCCTGAACCAACCTGTGCAAGTAAGCTCTTGCTTATAATGTTTCCTAGAGGCTATTCTAGTTCTTATCCAAGGGTAAAAATAGTACTTGAGTTCTTTAAAAACTTTAGCTGTTTATTAATGGAAACATGTTTTAGCCAGAAGACAGTTTAGGAAATAATCAGAAACTGTTATAAAATACTAGCGCAATCATGTGTGTTAGTAACTATAGAGTAAAACACTCAAGCAAACTTGATCCTCATTCATTTACCTCTGTGCCCTACTGGTGGTTATTATTCTAAGCATCCAATTCCCTTATTGCAACAAATGTGCTATTCCATTTCTGTGTCTATGCCTAGTCATTATGGAGTCTATATGCATGTGTGTATTTATTGTCAATCGATTTTACCAATCTGATTTGGGGGGTGGTTAATTGATTTTTTTCAAATTTCACACAATATATTTCCATCATATTTAGAACCCTTCCCCCATCTCCACCCTCCACTTACTATCTGCCACTTGATTTCATGTATTCTATTATATATACAATATGCATATGTTCTTTAAAGGCCTATTAAGTCAAATTTTGTCCCCAAATGCACTTCTGTGTGGGTCCATCCACTATAGCCTGGTTAAACTACAGAGTCATATCCTTAAAGAAGACTGACTTTTCCCATCCTAGCAGCTAGTGGTTGCCATAGTTCCTCAGCTAGAGTTGGGGTTTCTTCCCCGCTTCCCCACTTCTATGCTTGAACTTTTGTGGAATTTGTGCATGTTGTCACCATTGTTATGAGTTCATATGAGTAACTTTACAGCTGTCTAGAAAACTCTGTTTCCTTGTGGCCATATGCCACTTCTGGCTCTTTCAATCTTTTTCACTCCACTTCCACAATGACCCGTGAGCTCTGGGAAACAGATGTTTAATATGGGTGTCCTATTCTGGAATAAACACTCTGAATTCTCTTACTCTCTGTATGCTGACCAACTGTGGGTCTCCATTAATCACCATCTGCTGCATGATGAAGCTTCTCTGTTAAGAGTTGAGAGATACATTAATTTATGAATACAATAAGTAAGTAGGAGTTGGTACAATACTATGTCTATTTAGCAGAATAATAATAATAGATTCTTCTCTATGGCGTGAAGCCTGTTTAGCCACAGGTTCCTTGGCTTGATATCAGTGCCAGCTGTGGGTTCCATATTATGAAGTGGTCCTTACATGCAATCAGAAAGTGATTGGTTACTCTCATAACATTCATGCCACTATTGTACCAGTGGCCATGTCTTACCTGGTCAGTTGTTTTTTTAGCCCATAAGATTCATAGCTGGTTCTAGATAGGCTGACTAGGCCCCAGTAGATGAACTTGCACTGAGGAACATCTGGGGATGCCTACTTGACACAATAGGCCTTAACACAAATCACAGAAAATATGAATTCTAGTGGGGGAGACTATGGGAGGGTGTCAGTGGGGACCAGAGTATAAAAATGATTGTCTCCAGGCTTCCTGCAGCCAGCAGTGTCAGACCCGTGCTCTGCTCGGCCGACCTCCGTAGTGGCATGGCCCCGAAACGGCAATCAGCACCCCTGCCTCAGCCCAAGAAGCCCCTACCCAGGACTGCCCCAAAGCTGGCTGACATCCCCGGACTTGCAGAAGGGAGATTAAGAAAAACAAGAAGTAATTGAGCATATTGATGAAGTACAAAATGAAACAGACAATGAACAAGCCAGTGAGGATATTTTGAAAATAGAACAGAAATACAACAAACTCCACCAACCAATTTTTCAGAAGAGGTCAGAATTGATCGCCAAAGTCCCAAATTTTTGGGTAACAGCATTTATCAACCATCCACAAGTGTCTGCACTGCTTGAGGAGGATGAAAAGGCGCTACATTATTTGACCAGAGTTGAAGTGACAGAATTTGAAGATACAAAATCAGATTACAGAATAGATTTTTATTTTGATGAAAATCTTTCCTTTGAAAATAAAGTTCTCTCCAAAGAATTTCATCTGAATGAGAGTGGTGATCCATCTTCAAAGTCCACTGAAATCAAGTGGAAATCTGGAAAGGATTTGATGAAACACTCAAGTCAAACACAGAATAAAGCCAGCATGAAGAACCAGAGAGCTTCTTCACGTGGTTCACTGGCCATTCTGATGCAGGCACAGATGAACTAGGAGAGGTCATCAAAGACATCTGGCCAACCCCCTTGCAGTACTACTTGGTTCCTGATATGGATGATGAAGAAGGAAAAGGGGAAGATGATAATGAAGAAGGAGGAGGAGGAGGAGGAGGAGGAGGAGGAGGAGGGTTGGAAGATATTGATGAAGAAGGGGACGAGGATAAAGGTGAAGAAGATGAAGATGATGAGGGAGAGGAAGGACAGGAGGATGAAGGAGAAGATGATTGAAAGAAAAGAACACTGGTGGATTCCAACCTTCCTTTTTTAAATTTTTATTTTTATTTTTTAATTTCCTCCAGTCCCTGGCATCACATTGCAGTCTTCCCCTCCCCTGCCCCTCTTGTGCTCAGTCACCATGTTTTTGAAGTCTCTTTTCTCAACACGATGGTTCTCAACATATTTGGGGGAAATGACTTTGAGCAGAGTGCAACAGGAAAAGAACCTCCACTCTTCTGTTCTAAATTCATTTTGGTCCCTTCTTGTCTCAAACTGTGAACTTGCCACTACCACCACCGTGCTCTGTGGGAAAAACAACCTCCTGCTCCTTGACTCTGCTGGAAGCTGGGAATGCCTGGCCCCTATGTAGTAGTGCATAGAATTCTACCTTTTTTCCCCCTTTCTCTGTATATTGGGCTGAGAGATTACACTGTGTCTCTATGTGAATATGGACAGTTAGCGTTTACCACCATGTACCTGTCTACTTTTGTTTAATAAAAAGAAAAAAAGTTTTAAGAAATGGGTATAGAAGGTCAGAAAAGGGTGAGTTTGAGATGTTTGGGTGGGTTAAGTGGGCATTTTGACAACATGGCTTCTCCTTTGGCATGTTAGTTGTGATGTTTAATGGACATCCTTGCAGTTTAAGATAACACTTTTAAGATAAACTTCTCTCCTCATGGTGCCCTGAGCCCTGCCACTCAGTGGGTGAATCAGCAGAACCTACAGGATTCTATTTGGAATTGACATCCTCTATTGTAATTTTGTTTATTTTAAACTTTTTTTTTCACTGGAAAGGGAAGAAGATGATGCTCAGTTAAAACGTTAGAAGACCACAAGTTGCTTTGTTACAATAAAACTAAATGTGTACACAAAAAACTGATTGATTGAGATGCTCTATATGAAATACACAAAAATTCAGTAAAAACAAAACCAAAAAAGCAGAAATATTTCTGACAAGCATTAAAAATGATCTGGATTCAGCTTGTTTATAAAATCTTGAAATTATGCAATATTGACAACATACGTGAATAATAGGTATTCAAGTTTACATCATATGGATTTAAACACATTGATGCTTTGACTTATTTGCCACAGGGCCTTCTATTTTCTATCAAGTCATATTGCTTTGTACAGCAAATTGGTTTCCTGCCTTGTGCTGTTCCCATATTCTTCCAAGGCAGCTTTTGTCTTGAAGTTCGTACACATCCTTTCCAATCATATTTTTATTCATTCAGTCTATAGACATGATACAATAAAACATAGTTTCATGTATTTTAAAACATTAATGTTAAATTTTGTGTATTCTTTGGATATTTTTTTCTGAATACTATTGTTTCAATATAGTTTTTCTGAAATTTTTTTCCATTATATGTAATAGAGTTTTAATGAACTGCATTGTTCAGTAATTCTGTTGCTTGCACCTAGGGACTTGTCTGGTATCGTTTATTGATACACAGTACGTACTGCAATTTCCCTTTGAAGTGCTATTCAAAACATTTGCATTTATGAAGCCATTTAGCTTTCACAAAAAAATCTATAAGTTAGTTGGTATCATCATTTTTGCTTTGGTTAAAATGATCCAGACAATCAGATACACTTTGCACAAAGGTACCAGACCAGTCGGTAACAGCATGTTTCAAATTCTGAAAGTATAGTTTCCAAGTCCAAAATCCTTCCCTTCTTCATTAACAATCAATTTAAGAAACTATCATGCTTCAGAATTGTTCCTGTGCAATTCCTTTGCTCATTTATTATACTGGTACATTTATAATTTTCTTATTTATTAAAAGAGCTTCTTCCTATGGATACTAATCCTTTGTCAATTTTTTCATTAAAATACCTTTCCCTATAAAAAGAAAAGAAAAGATTTATAGCTGGGAAAGGGTGCTGATTACATTTTTTTCGCAGTACCATGCATAACACCTTCCAGCACTCTAAAGGCTAGCCAGCAGAGCGAAGCCTTGAAGTTAGTACTAGCTTGATTTCTCCTTGTTTGTTCTACAATTCAAGTGTGTCTTCAATAGGATTCTACCATCAAATTCTGGTTGGTAACCAAAAGCAGGAGCAGTGCAAGTATTGCCTGAGGGTCTGTGAGACCCCTGGTCAACAGCTTCAAAAGAAAGGCTCCATTCCTGGCGTTAAGCTTTTTAATCTACTAGCCTAAAAAAAAATAAAATATCTTAGTATAAATCTAAGAAAGGAAGTGAAGGACTTGTGCAATAAAAATTTTAAGGCATTGAAGAAAGAAACTGAAGAACACGTCAGAAGATGGAAAGATCGCCCATACTCGTGGATCAGTAGGATTAATATTGTGAAAATGGTTACCCTATCGAAAGCAATCTAGAAATTAAATCTATCCATCATTATAACCACTTATCAGTTTGTCCTGAGTTATTATGACATCTCCAATTCCAATAGAACAGCAACAAGTTCATTCTGCTATTTTAGCTTTTCATTTCTGTATTTGCCACTGTTATTGTGAGATAACTTGTCCTCCACAATTTTTTTTTTGTCTTTTTGAGATAGGATCTCCCTATAGCCCCAGCAGGCCTGGGACTCACTATGTATGCCAAGTTGGCCTTGAACTCATAGAGATCTGCCTGCCTCTGCCTCTGAGTGCTGGGATTAAAGACGTGGGCCACCACACCCAGCTCTTACAACAATATTTTAACCTATTTCTTCAGGTCTAAAACACAGAGAAAGAATTTCCATGACATCACAAAATCAAATATATTACATACATTTCAATCAAGTGCATGTGTTCTGTAATTTCTTCTGGCTTTATCATCTGTCTGATATCAATTTTAATTAGAATACTAAGGAAGGTGGTGATTGTTTTATTTTCATATATGGATAGCCAGTTGTTCAAAGAATATATGTGGGAAAATGCATTTGCTGTACAAGTATTCATTCGTTTTAGTTTTTAATTTGTTTCTAGTTTCTAGTTCTACTTGTACTCAAGTAGAACTAGAAAAATTGAAGCTATTAAAATCAATAAAAGCTGCCTTTGTGTTATGAATATGTAAGTGACATCGGAGGTGTCTCAGTTTTGTGGAGACTTTGGCACACATTTGCAAGTGTCTTAATGCCATACTAATTAGCTACTAACCTGGGTATATGTCATAAGTTTATAAATCCCTAAACAGTGCAGGTGAACCATTAAAGTTTAAATAGCACACTGTAAATCTTTTGTGGACATGACCTGTGCTTTGGTTCATTCAGTCAATGTCAAATTGATTACTAATTGTTGTGGTTCATACTGACTGTCAAGTTGGCAAGATCTATAATCCACCTAGGAGAAAAACCTCTTTGAATGTCTATGAGGGAGTTTTCTACTGGGTTAAATTAGATGGGAAGAACTCTTCTAAATGTGGGTAGAACAATTTCATGGGCTAGAATCCTGGAGTAAGTAAAAAGGAGAAATTGAGCAGAGTGCCAGAATTAATCTCTCACTTCCTAACTGCAAATGCGCTGTGTCCAGCTGCTTCACACTTCAGCTGCCACGATGAGCCCAAACAAACACTCCTTAAGTTGCTTTTGTCTGGTCCTTGGTCATAGAAATGAAAAAATAACTGATATATTAACCAAACATAAATATTCCTCTCCTAATCAAATTTAATTAGTGAATTATCTCAAAAGGCATTTAATGTAACCTAATACATTAGATCATAGCTATCCATAACTATTTTTAGATCATGATGTAAATTTTTAAATATGTGTATTTAACTGTAAAATTCAGTTAAAACATCCAAAACCTAGCAATAATTAAGGTTTCATATAAATAATACAAGACTTCTTAAAAAGGAATGGAAAAACGGGACCACAAGAAAAGATGTTAAACTGCCATCCTTGAAAAGTACAATGCACAGAAATATTATTATATGGATAATTCTTCATTATTACTTAAATTTCTATATATTGGAAATTATTCTTTGAATACTTTAAGATATGATTTTAATCAATAATTCTAATTTTCAATATTTTCTAGAAATAGAGAAAGAATCCTGCCCACCTCCACCCCAGATTCCCAAGGCCCAAATTATGAACAGTACGTTGAACTACTTGGATGGAGAAAAAGTATCTGTTCTTTGCCAGAAAAATTATGTAACTCTGGAAAGAGAAGAAATGGTGTGCAAAGAGGGAAGATGGCAGTCACTACCACGCTGTGTTGGTCAGTAGAGTTTGAATTACTTTGTAACATTCATTTAGTTTATTATTTTCTCCTCAAAGTGAAGAGAACTCGTGAGAAGGGGATATTGAAAATGGGAGTAGTACCACAATTGGATAGGCCTAATGCAAACGGTTTGGCTTTATTTTTCAATTTAAACATTTTACTAATGCTTAACTATTTTCTTTCTGTTGTCCATGCAGAAAAGATTTCATGTTCTGACCCCCCTGAAATAAACCATGGAACTATTAAGCTATCTAGATTGTCAGAAGAAAGGAGAGACACAGTTGAGTCAAGAATTCATGAACATGGCACTAAACTCAGCTATATTTGTGATGATGATTTCAGAATATCTGGGGAGAATGGGATAACCTGCCACATGGGGAAGTGGAGTTCTCCACCTCAGTGTGTCGGTGAGAGCGGTGTGAAAACCCAGTTCTGATTTTAGAACAGATCATTACAAATAATCGATTGTGGTCAAAATCAGGAGAACGAACCACTTATATATTTTACCATGAAAGTTCTTTTGGCATAAGTGAATCTTCCTTGTTTTACGGTGTTGATAACCATAAAATCAATTTTCACTCTTGCATTTCTTTCTTTTCAAAAAAATATATTTATTATTTTTATTTTATGTGTATGAGTGTATTGCCTGCATGTATGTGAGTGCACCCATGTTGTGCGATGCCATGGAAGTCAGAAGAGGGTGTAGTATTCCCCTGGAACTGAAGTTAAGGACGGTTCATAGCAGTGGGTGCTGGGAATCAAACCCAGGTCCTCTGCAAGTGCAGTCAGTGCTCTTAATCGCTGAGCCATCTCTTCAGCCCCAAACTCTTGCATTTCTTTCAAAAAGTGTGATATATAGTACATTTAACTCAGCTGTTCATGGGAGTTTGCCATCAGTTATACTTTAATCTTTTTTTCCCACAATGTATTTTCTGAATTTTTGCACTAGATGGTACTTTTCTCCTTTTTCACTGTATTTTTAATTTTTTCAGGAAAATCACATGTGAGCATTGTATTCGCATCATTTGCACTCCTCCCTGGCCCTTTCCCCAGTCTTCTTATGCGCCTCCTCTCAATTTCTTGTCTCTTGACTATTATTGTTCCCTACACATGCACTGAGTCCATTTAGTATTGCTGCTGTGTACATGTGTTATAAAGGAGCTATTCCCTGTTGAAAACTGATTCTTCATCCCTCATCATCAATTGACTTCCTTTGGCTCTTCATCTTGGGTTGGAAAGCTGTGAAATGCCCCACATTCCATTGACGTATCAACAAATTTTGTCATTATTCACATCTTCTTAGGCTACCACACTATGGAGATTTCATGGAAGCAGTGTTCCTATCATGTCTAGAATGAATTATCTTGTTCCTTTGGCTCTTAAACTCTTTCCTTCTCTTCCACAATGTTCTCTGAGCTTTAGGTGTTTGAGGTCGCGTTGTAGATGTATCTGTTAGGGCCTGGCACCACACAGTCACTTGTTCTTTACATTTTGACAAGTTGTGCAACTTTGTAATAGTCCCCACCTATTGCAAAAAGAAGCCTTGATGATTGGTGAGAGCCTCATTTGTCTGTGAATGTAAGGTTACATATTTAGAATATAGTAATAAATTATGTTGGTCTAGGCTTTTTTGCTTCTTTTTATCATTCCTGATCTGTCAGAGAAGCTTAAAGTATGGACGTTTTTGGTGTCAAGTTCTTGCTGTGGTTGTGGCAGTTTAACAGATGCAAAACAATAGAAAGTGATGTCATGTCTTCTGTACGACCCTTTCTTTCACACACTGCTACATGCAAAACTGGCACATAAAGCCAAATTTCTGAGCTAATGCAACATGGACTTATTTCACTATTTTACTCTCATTATGTTATTTTCAGGACTTCCTTGTGGACCTCCACCTTCAATACACCATGGTATTGTGTCTCAGGAGCTAGACACTTACCAATATGGAGAAGAGGTCACATACAATTGTTCTGAAGGTTTTGGAATTGATGGACCGGCATTTATTAAATGTGTAGGACGAAAGTGGTCCCAGCCACCAAATTGCATAAGTATAGCATATTTTATTTTATTCTCTTTGTTACAGATAATCTAATTCAAACGATATATGGTATGAATAATAATGTAAACTGTGGGATGGAGAGATGGCTCAGAAGTTAAGGGCCTGCACTGCTTTTCCAGAGGACCAAAGGTTTATTCCCAGCACATATACATCAGGTGGTTCACAGTCATCTATACCTCCAGCTCAAAAGTAGCTGACCTTCTCTGTCTTCTGTGGGCACATACACTAAGAACCACAGACACAGACACACATACACACACACAGACACACACACATTTATATTTATATTAATTATATATATAATTCATGATAAAAATAAAATAGAGAAGTTATCTCCTAAAGGTTATATATTCTAGCAGAGAAATATAGTGCTAATAATAATAGTTTTAGATTATGAGGCCAGTTACTTCACTTTTCAAATCATCTAGTGTGAGCTGTCAGCATCCTCTGATGAGAAATCTCAGATTTCTCATCTCCACTGCTGGAGCACAGCTGGCCCAACTCATCAGCATCATCATTATGACATGCTTAGCAGCAATCTCACTATAAATATGTATACTCTAAAAATATGAAACAATAACTGGAAATAATTTACATTTGAAGAAATAAAAACATAGAAATTCATCATAAAGGTGGGAGGTATGAGGGAAAATAATTTGAATACAAAATGTATAATTTCAAGATCTAAACCCACTAGTATTCAGTATTTTAAGTCATTCCCAAATTATACATTGGATAAATTTAGAACAATTCAGTGTAATTAAGTCAGAACTTGGAATATATTTTGTCTATTTATAAGAAATATAATGTATTTATTCTTCTATATGTGTCTATCATTTTAGATATTATGTATCTTATAACTTACTGTTTTTCTTTCAGGAACTGATTGTGGTGATTTACCCACATTTGATAATGCCATACCCATAGAACAGAGAAAGGATTCATATAGGTCAGGAGAACAAGTGACTTATAAATGTGCACCTTCTTACCAGTTGGATGGGTCTAACATTGTGACATGTGTTAATCGCAAGTGGATAGGAAAGCCTGTATGCAAAGGTACTTTGCTGGACTTTTGACATGTATTCATTAAAGTGTCAGAGGTGATAAATATAAAATTGTCTAGCATCATTTAAAAGCGGGCATAGATTAATTTTAAGGCAAGATGTAGTAGGTTTATATTTAAAATAAAACAATTGAATTGAATATCCAATGATTAATCTGATAGATCTATTGTTCCCAGAAAATAGTTCCAGCACCAGCATTAACAGTATCTTTGGGCCAGGTGTTATAAATTTACATTAAAATTGATGAGCTACCAATAGAAAAACTCTAGAGATGAAACCTTGAAGACATTCTACAAAGACCTTAAGGGGATTTGTGTTTACCTTAGTTTGGAAAATGTTGCTCTAGGCTATTATTACTACCTTTGTATCTAAAACATTAAGTGTTGTTGATCATAGTATCCTTAAATATTTGGAAATACTTTGTTAAAGATTCACTTTTCAATTATGAACTTATTTATATTTTACTTCTCTAATCTTCTGTTAGGATATTGGGACATTTTCTTTGATCATCATTTTCTTAAAACTGTATTCTTCAAAGTGAGTTCTCAGTTCTTGAATTACTCTCTGAAGAACTCCCTCTGTGTTGAATCGTATGGGGCTAAACTTGCAATGAATAAGCAGAATGATTAGAAAGTTACAACTGATGTCACATGATCTTTTTATCTGGCGCTTTTGCATTTTAGCAATTCACATTGCTTTCATAGAATTTATAATATTTATTAATACCATATTTGAAGAGAAATTTTAGGATATTTTTAATTTTCATTGGCTTCCAAAGGAGAAAAATGTCTGTCAGCTTAAGGACATGAAAACTTAACTTTAATATATCATTATATCTTCATTTACATAATAGTGCATGTAAATTTATTGAAAGCAGTAAATGAGAGTATCAGTTTATCTGCAAATGCCCTTGAAATGTATTTGACATCTCATTTGTTGATTGACGCCTCAAAATGAACACTGAGTAGTGATACTTTGTTTTGCTATTTAGATAATTCCTGTATGAATCCACCACAAGTGAAAAATGCTACTATATTAACAAAGCTCATGGCTAAGTATGCATCTGGTGAGAGAGTGCGTTATGAATGCAATAAACCTTTTGAAACATTTGGGGAAGTGGAAGTGATGTGTTTAAATGGAATTTGGACAGAACCACCTCAATGCAAAGGTACAGCACCATATTCCTGATTTTCTTGTGCATGTAGATTGGATAAAGCATATTAGTGAAAATAAAGTGAGGTGATTCTTATAGAAAATAACATTTTTCAAATGCAAATAAATGGCATTTCTAAAATTTTAAATCTTTTAGTGAATTGAACTAAGAAGTTTAGTGGGTATTTCAACAAAAATTAAGTCACATTAAAGGAACAATTAACAATAAGGAAAATTCCACATCTTAAGACACTTAGTTATTTTTCACAAATTATTTATGTATAAATGATTATATAAATATATATGAGACTTGAGAAAACAATTGCAAAATATTCATCTTAAAGTGGAAATTGTGATATATCTCCATTGGTGTTTTTGCTTCTTCAATTTTACTTGCCCAGACTTATTTCTATACATATAGTATGTGGTATTTTGTATTTTTGTCAACTTCACAAAAATTAGATTTACCTGGGAAGAGAAAACCTCAGTTGTTGAATGCATCCATTGTATTGGCCCATGTCCCTGTCTGTGAGGCATTTTCTTAATTGATGATTGATGTAGGAGGGCCCAACCAAATACCGGCAGTCTTATCCCTGGTAAGGTAGGCCTGGGTTGTATAAGAAATGTAGTTGAGCAAGCCAGGAGGAGGCAAGTCAGTAAACAGACTTCCTCCATGCTCTCTGCCTCAGTTCCTGCCTCCAGGTTCCTGCATTGAGTTCCTGTCTTGCTGTCTGATGATGGACTATATGCTGTAAGCCAAATAAACCCTTTCCTCCCCAAGCTGGTTTTAGTCAGTCTTTTATCACAGCAATAGAAAGCTAACTAGAACACAGCAAAGCCCAAAATTATGTCAATGAGTCATCTACCTTTAATTATATACTATATATTGGAGAAGAACAAATTTATGTGCTATCTATAAGCCATTTTCAAATGTCCAGTCTATAGCTCAAATTTCTGTATTTAGACCATTTACATGTGAAACAATTGTATGTTCAGGATAGCTGTCATAATTTTATTTGTATGTTTTCTCTGTTTTTCTTCTCTTTCGTTTCTTTAGAGGAATAACTTTCAAAAATTCCATTTTAATATATCTTTTATTTTTTCAAATGCATACATCTGACAACTTCCCAAATCATTTTATTGAAGTCACTCTAGGTGATTGTGTGTGTTATTAACTTTTTCTAATATTGACATTTCATATTTCAATAAAAATACGAAAATTGAACTCACCTTTAAAATCCATTTACCATTCCTATGTTTGAAGTAGAAATTCCCTTAGCATCTCCTTTTACATACTTTGTGCACCAGTAGTAACAAATGATAGAATTTTACTTCAAACATGAACATGCCTTAGCAAACCCCAAACAAAAGACCCATCTATTACATACCCCTCCTTTTATTAGTTACTTTTCTCCTGAAGTCTTATTTTCTGTTTTCACTTCTTCAAGTAATTGGGGGGGGGCTCAGTTCTTTTTGAGACAGGGTCTCCCTGTAACCCCAGCTGGCCTGAAATTTGCTTTGTAGATCAGCTGGCCTTGAACTCATAAGAGATCTACCTGCCTCTGTCTCCCAAGTGCTGGGATTAGAGACATGCACCACCATACCCAGCTTCTTTAAAAAGTTTTAATGATTATTCTTTAGTAACTACTTTAGGTAAGTTCTCTTTGTCCTCTTTTATAGAGTATGTCTTCGTGTATACCTTTGTTACAAAGATTAGCACCACTGGATATAAAACTTGAGACTAGCAGTTACTTTCTTTCATTTCCTGTGGCCTCCATGGTTGGTGGCTGGGGAGCTACTTCCTTTTGAATTTTGGTCCAAGGTGATTAGTAAAGAGATCTTGCTGGTCTCTTTTGAAATGATTTTCTTTAGGGCTGGAGAGATGGATTAGTGGTTAAGAGCACTGACTGCTCTTGCAGAGGAGCCAGGTTTATTTCCCAGCACTAATAGGTGGGTTGCAACCATCCATAACTCCAGCTCCAGGGGATCTTGTCACCCTCTTCTGACCCCCACAGGCATGGCACTCAAAGGTATATTTACACATACAGAAAAGTGCACCAAATAACCAGGAACTGGTGCTATGAATGGTTGTTAGCTGCCATGTGGAGGCTGGACATCAAACCTGGTGCTCTGCAAGAGCAGTCAGTGCTCTTACCCACTGAGCCATCTCTCCAGATCCTCTTTTATTGACTGTATCAGGGAATCCAACAAGTACATTTAATAATCTTTTAATTAGTTTCAATAATTGGATGTTTTTAGGGAAATGGTTATAAAAATCAAGAAATACGATTAGAGGTACAATAAATACTGCAGTATATTTTAATACTATAAACTTCCTGTCTTAGCTATATGCCAACTCATTATTTTCACAATATATTTAATAGTATTAGAACATACAAATTGTGGCAACATACTTGTCATAATTTATTAAGTACCTTCAGTGAAGAGAAAGGAAGAGTTTGAAGATCTAACTCACCATTTGTATGATTAAATTTCTTCCAGTAGCCAGGCATAATGGCTCATGCTTTCAATCCCAGCACTCAGGAGACAGAGACAGGTGGATCTCCATAAGATCGAGGTCAACCTGGTCTCCATAGTGAGTTCCAGGTCAGCTGTGGCTACAGGGAGACCCTGTCTCAAAAAAATAAAAACAACAAACCAAAACAAAACAACAAAATATTTCTTCCAGTAATCATTTCTCTAGCTAGAAATAATGAAAGTCTTGATGTTATATAGAACACTTTATTTATATTAATTTTACATGATCCTGTATTTTGACTTGGTCTCACAAAAAACCGAATGTTATCTTTTAGATTCAACAGGAAAATGTGGGCCTCCTCCACCTATTGACAATGGAGACATTACCTCCTTCCCATTGCCAGTGTACCCACCAGCTTCATCAGTTGAGTATCAGTGCCAGGCCCTCTATCAACTACAGGGCAGCAAGACAATAACATGCAGAAATGGAGAGTGGTCAGAGCCTCCAAAATGCTTACGTAAGTGTCAACTCTCTCGGGTGCTGGGAAAATCTGTTTGATGATTATTGCAACATCTTTCTACTCAGACAGAACACTCACAGATTAACAATAACTGTTTTGCCTAATGCTTGACTGCCCAATATCAGTGTGTGAGGAAATCAAGTTTTGTTAATGCTTTTTTAAATTAAATATTTGTCAAATACATTAGTGTTTATTTTAAGAGTTTGGTTAGCATGTATTGATTTTTGTATAAATGGAAGTAAGATATTCCCATACCTATATGCACCTTTGAATGATTAAATTCCCCCTCCCTCATACATCCTTCCCTTACATACACCTCTCCAACCACTACTAATAATATTATGCATTCAAGTAGATTTTTAAGAATATTCCACCATATGAGAGAACACACATGACTGTGTTCTGCTCATTTCACATAATATCATCCACTTCCAACTTTTCACTCAAATAATGAGAATTAGTTACTTGCGATGTCTGAATAATATTCCACTGTATAAATGTACCATGATGTCTTTCATGTTCATTCATCCACTGATGGGCATCTAAACATATTTCACATCTTAGTTACTGTGACTTAGCTGTGTGCTTTACACATAGACATACAGGTTTAGTAGGCTGACTTGATTTCTTTTCACCAAGCAAAAGGATATAGGAATAATATATGATAGATCTATTTTTAATCTTTTTATTGAGCTGTGTATTTTTTAAAATTTTTAAGCAAATCTCCACATTCCTCACTATAATAACTACACAGACTCACATTTCCATCAACACTGTGTAACAGTTTTTCTGTGCATGCCCCTTAGCATTTGTTACTTTTAAGGGCTTGTTTTTTAATACCATTCTAACTGGTATCTGCTATCTTGGTGTAGCTTTGACTGGCAATTCCCTTATTGCTAATGATGTTGATTTTTTTCATTATTGACAGTGTTTATTTCTTTTGAAAAATATCTATTCATTTTGCCCAATTTTGGTAGGTTTACTTGTTTTTGATAAGTATTTTGAATTATGTATTATTTTTATATCTCTATCCCAATCCATTACCTGCTCCCAAATATATGCTCTTTATAATTATTTTTTAAAGGTCTAAGGAGTCTAATCTGTGTTTGCCAAATGCTCTTGGGTATGGGTCTATATTCCTTGAAGTCCAGTCAGGTTACCAGGCATCACACTCCTGTAGAAGACTCACCCTCTCCTAGCAGCTGTCAATTGCCAATAAATCTCTAGCTAGGACTGGGGCATCTTGCCCACTTCATTGACTCATTGTGAGTTTTTTTCTTGCTTGAGCTTCCACAGGTTTCATGTATGCTGTCATAGGTGCTGTGGGTTCATATGTGCAACTATCTTGTGGTGTTAAGGCAACATGGATTTCTTGTATTCGTCTACCACCTGTGGACCTTAGATTACTTTTGCACCCTCTCCCCCAGTGATTTCCTGACTCTTGGGAGGAGAGGATGCAATATAGATGTCCCATTTAGGGTTGAGTACTCTGCAGTCTTTATGTATTTTTAACAGTAAGCTTGTGGTAATGGATAGTTGATAAATATTTTCTCTAATTATCTAGGTTGTCTATTAATTCTATTTACTGCCTCTTTTGCTATATAGAAATATTTTAGTTGATAAAATTCTATTTGTCATTTTGCTTTTGTTTCTTATGCTTTGGGGATTCTATCCCAAAAATTCATCACCTGAGCCAAGTATAGTTTCTCTCATGTTTCTTTTAGTAGTTTTAGCCTTTTAGTCTTTGATCCAATTTGAGTTGATTTTTGCCCAGAATCAGAAATAGAAACCAAATTTTAATCATTTTCCCATGGATATCCAGCTTTCCTAGAACCATTTATTGAAGGGTTTTCCCTTTCTTCAATGGATATTTTGAAAATTTGGTCAAGATCAGTTAAGTATAGATGCATGGGTATGTGTTTGAAATTTCTATTCTCTTTCATTGAACTGTGTGTCTGTTTTATGCCAATACCATATTGTTTTGGTTCCTGTGGCTCCTGGTATGTCTCAAAATAAAGTGTTGTGATATCATCAGACTTTCTCACTCTGTTTCTCTTTGCTTATTCTTTTGTGCTTCCATATAAACTTTAGAAAATTTCCCCTACTTTTATGAAAATTTCCCCTACCTACTGTGCTAACAAGGCACCTATTCCCTTTTTTTTACTCTTGAGATTCTTTTTTTAATTATTTATTTAATAACCATATAATTAGAAGAAGCATTTTGTTACAACAGCATTGACATAGTCAATAACAATTTCCAGAGCTAAGATGCATCTCTTTCAAAATTAGCTGTAAACTTTTAGGTTTACAGTTGAATTGATAGTTATACAGTAATGTACTCCATATAAACCATATAAGTCATAAAATTAAATGGTTTTAAACTTTAAAAAAGATCTCCATTTCATTACTAAAATACAGTTTCATACAGAAGAAAATCATTTTTAATACAATTGACACTATGATGCACATGTGTTTCTAATCTCTATATATCTGATTATTACTAGTCACAGTCAGTTATTTTCTGAGCTCCTTGGCATCTGAGCATGGATATAAAGTCATCAGGTAGATTTCAATGGTAATGTTTTTCACATTTACTAATTATTAAGGAGCAAATTTTTATGCTTTGAAGAATTTTTTTAAATTTATTTATATACCCACTTCCCAGGTAGCACCCTACCATAGCCTCCCTCCCCCCACTAGAGCCCTTATTCTCCGATATCCCTGCTACTGTCTGCTGTGTTGTTGGCACCCCCAGACATTCCCCACTACTTGACCTTCTGGTGAATCTAGTTAGCCTATCTAGAGGTCTTTGTTTTAGGAGGGTCAGCTGTTCTTCATCTAGCGGTAATCAGTTGTCTGTATTCCTTTGGATAAGATTGGGGTCTGCTGTTCATTTTCCCAGTTCTATGCTGGGTTACTATCTGGGAATCCCTTTGGCCACCCTGGCCATCAACTCAAAAGAAGATATCGCTTTCCTTTGCTTGTTATGTAGCCTTTAGCTATACATATGGACTCTTATGAAATTATGTTGGCCCATTTAATCTTTGGTTATGCTTTCCTTTCGGGTGTTTAAGGCCATACAGTTGGTGCAGATAAAACTGATTTATTTTTACTCTTAAGGTCATTTGAGGATCTGTTCCTCAGGGGTCACATGGGCTTGGGAGGAGCCCCTGGCTCCTTTCTTTTACCAGTTCCATCTATGTGAAGGTAAGACAAAGGTCCTGCTAAACGATGGTTGGCTTCCCTTGGAAGCATGGAGGAAATGATTCCTCTGTGCTGACCCACCTT